GCAAACTATGGACTTCAATTTGATTGATCCATTTTTCTATATGAAATGAACTACAATTCTTTGACTAGCATATGTGGTTCACTTTCTTCGACCAATTTAATAGGGCCAATTTACATAGTAAACTGTCCCCCATCCTTTCTTTATTTCAAGCAATCTTTCATAAGTCCTTTTCTATTGTAGATAATGGAAGAGAAATTTAGAAGACTATGCCCATTGGCCAAGGATGCAAAGCTGAAAGGGCATCGTCTCTTCTCTGAAGTCCTCGCAAACCTTCCTGATCAGTACAGAGGACGGAACAATGCCAGATGTTTCACTGAGGAGAACACTGAGTGTATCCTCGAGAACTTAACGATACAACGGCGCGCAGATCAATGGGTAGAAACACGTCACAAAGATCTAGTGTATGAAGATCATTTCAATCCGTCCGTCGTTTCGATAGCTAATGAAAAGGGAGACTTTTGTTTTGACAAGTTAATTCAAGTGTGTAAGAAATATGAAAACCGTGCACAAATAGACGAGCACGGAAGAGTTAGTGACGAAAGCTACTCAACGTTTATAGAAGCAATGCCGGCAGTAAACGATGCGAAAGCTGCGGCATTCGCAATTGCATTCTACACTGGTTCCCAATCGGGAGGTATTAGTCGCGGTGCCAGCATAATCGCTCGACAAAGTAATGGAGAAGCATTGAATAGCGCTAACGAAGAAGACGTTGATGATGCAGCTATTATTCTCTATTATCTGGTGAAAGGGCTGTCAAATATCCCATACTATTGGGGCGTGTCAGCCCGAGCGATCGACCTGAAGGATGATGAAACGAGGTCTTATGCAGTTGGTAACGTGGTGACCTGGTTTCAATTTAGCTCAACTAAAAGAGGGTACGAGCCGCCGGAATTTTTTAAAAATCGTAATACCTTTTTCATCATCTACTCATTGACGGGTCGTCCTATCCAGAAATTCTCGTCATTTCCAGAAGAAGACGAAATATTGTTCGTGCCACATTCAACATTTCTCGTTGTTGATCGTGAGGAAGAAGCGGGCAGACATAAGATATACCTAAGGCAAATCGAACTAGGATTTAGTGAATGGTCTGTTTTATGGGTCGATGATAATATCCTTGATCCAAATTGGCAAAACAAAGCGCATATGGAACGTGTATCTTCACGGGCTATGAATCAAAACGTTCATATCATTCCAAAATCTTGCACTGAAAGTGGTCTATCTTTTCTACGGTCGCCATTTGGCCAACGGTTGAGAAATTGCGACAAGTTTCGCATCGTTAGTGACATGAAACGCGACAATGAGTCTTCAGGACGGTATGCAGGTATTCACTTTTTAAAAGCAGTTCGACAATTGGGATTCAACAATCGGTTCTTAATATTTACTGGTAGTCAGAAAAAAGCAATGGAGAAAATTCAAGTGGAAGTAAATCAAGCAGAAAGGCAGAATCTCTTGGTGACGGAATTAAATACGGGCTTGGATACTTTCGTTGGATTTGAAGACTAGATTGAAACTAAGATTTTGAAAGAAACTTTTCCTTTATTCTCAAAGTATGCCTGATTTTCATCAAGAGTAGCTTTCGAATAATTGAACTTCATCAAAGACTTCAAATTCTCTAGTATATGAGAATAATAATTTCTTTAATTTATCACGATTCTTACGACCCTCTGAAATACAAGACTTGCCATTAATATTCAGTACATTTCTGAATATCAGAAGTCGGATACTCTTCCTGTTTAAATATAGAGATAGATTACATTGTTTCGTTCCATCAAAACTAGTTGGCGGTAAATTCCATTGAGAATCGTTGTAGGAGAGTGAATCAGACGGTCCTCACTTAAATGATATATGAGTATTCGGGTACTATGGAAATGTTTAGCAAATGTTTACGTGTGATATAGGCCATGGACGTCGCACCAGCAGGATAAGGGGTGAGAGTGAGGGGGTGACGAGGTGAGTCTAGCTACCGTTGTCATGATTTGGTCCTCGCAAAAGGACTATTTAGACGGCTTCGACAATATACTATTCAAATGATAGGAGTTAAGGGCCCCCCTCCCCTCTAAAGCTTTTTTTCCCAGAACACTCGATCTTACTGAAATTTTTATTGAATATGAACCTGAAAATCCTTTTTGCGCATGACAAAATGCTTTGAACATGTCCACAAAGTTTCAGCTCTAACGCATACAAGATGTCGATGATCGTATTTTGAGAAGGAGTTCTTACACGCCAAAACGAACAAATTTGTCCAGTTTCTACGGCTGTAATTACATTAAACTGTACTTTTCTGCGCCATTCGAGATACCGAAGAGACTCAACTCATAGCTCTGCTAGCAGTCTCGTTTTGTGACCATTTTTACTTCCGAAAATGTTCTTTTAGCCTTCGAAGATACAGTCAGTGTTCGAATTGCTACAAAAAAGCGAATGCTTTCATTCAAAGGGGCTTCTTATTTTTCTTCAAATAAGAACAAAATTAGAATTTGTTTTATACAGAAACACGAAGGACGTGAGAACGCAACAAGGGGGAAAAAGCGGACTCCTGGACTCCCATGGACTCCTGAAGTCTAGGAGTCCAAGAGCAAAGTGTTCTTTTTTGGGAATCACTTCCCAAAAATTGGACACTTTTGTTCTTTTTTGGGAAGTGATTCCCAAAA